GAAAGTCCTCCACCCTGAATGCCGGAATGTTTTCCTTCTTCCGTCCTGGTTGACTTCTTGTGGACGTCTGCTTTCAGATCCGCTTGAAATCCTCGCGTTTGGGGCACTGTTTATCGCACCCTTGATGAGCTCCACCACAGTTGGCGCATTTACACGTTTCCGACTCGTCGACAACGCACTCGAAGGAGACATGATTTTGGGCGCATTTACCACAGTGCGGCTTGATGTAGCAGTTTCGGGTGCCGTGCCCAAAATTCAAGCAACGCTGACACTGGGTGACGTCGTGACGGCTACCACGGTATGGCTCCTATTGAAAAATTATGGAGTTGATGGAGCGGATGGCCTTCAACGCATTGACCGTCACCGTTCCCTTCTGGAAATGCACCAGGAAAAGGCACCCGGATACTCCTTGACGTTCTCGTCCCTCCTTGTCATCCGGAAGACGGCAGTTGGGGCCAGCTTGTAGCGGTTCTTGATTTCCGCTTTGATCAACTTCGGGTCAAAGTTCGGTAGACCCCTAATGATGACCTTGAATGGTTTCTCACCGGGAGTGTCATGGGTGAAGAATTCCACTTTGGAAGTCCTCAGGTGGGCGATGACCAAGTCATACTCCGCTTTCAGCGACACCAGATCCGGGATGAGCTCGTTAAGATGGGCATTTTTCACTACCAGTGGAGGTAGCTTCACTCTTGCCGCGCTTCTTTCAGCAGCATTTTCTATTTCGGCAGCGTCGCCGAGATCTACGTTTGTCGCAGAGGCATCCTCGCGACCAATTGTGCCATCGGACTGGCCCCGATTCTTCTTCCTCTTCATGCTGCATTTTTCCGACACAGCTGGTTGGATATTCCCATCCATGGGGAGAACAGCAAACCTGTTGGATGTAGGTACACCCGAGCTTCCTTCATCGGGGTTCTTGTCCTTCACCGGCAGAGATGCCAGGCTTATTTTGAAAAAATCTGGCAAAACTCGAAAAAAATGTCTGGCAAAAATCTGGCACAGCAAATTAACATAGGAAGCTGCCAGATTTCTCAAAAAATCTGTCTGGCAGAGCTTAAATTTCTCTGGCTATGCCAGATAAATCTGGCAACCTGGCAACGCTGTTCACCGGGCTTCACGAGCGATGCTTCCCCATTTCGGGCACGCACACACAAAAAACCGCGAAAGAGAGAGAGAGACAGCGCGAAGACTATCACCACGAACTTTCCGAACAACTCGTCAGAGCGAGCAAAAGCCGAACTATACTGCTTGACGATCAAGCAGAGAATGACAAAACTGAATGAGAGGGGTTTCAGAAGTTGTGACCGGCCATGTATAAGGTATAGCAAAACACGCTACGAGGGGGAAGGGTCGAAAAAATTCTACGTCATTTATGGATTGTCCCTTGCTCATTTTAAGTCGTAGTTATGCCGCGGATAAACTTGAATGACTTACTATGAGCATGAGCATTATTTGCATAATAATAATGATTATTATAAAAACAACTATACACAAACTATACAAGAGTACCATTAGAGTGATGCAAAATTTGAAATTTTCGCTCCACAATACTTAAACGATTCCAAATCGGATCCTGACTAACCTCTCAAAATTTGAACCCATTTGGTGAGAAACTGAGATGGCACAAACCATTTGAAGTTTGTATGGGAATTACTATGGAAAAACCAAGATTTTTGTTCATCTCTATCTTATAATTCACCATATCGGTCTGCTTCAAAAGCTTTTAATTTTACTTATAGGAAATTTTCCCAGCTACAACTTTGTTGAAGACCACTTTTTGAATAAATGCAAGGATCGAAAGTTATTAATGGTTCAATGCACTGATGTCTTATTATCATGCTCAATCAACTGCTCAGCAGGCAACATTGGTGTTTCTGGGGCGTTGAATAGGACACAAAAATTATGGCTACTATGTCACACTGCAAAATACAGTGTTGCCTACAGAGCAGCTGCTTGATCATGTCATAAGTTTACAAATCTCTTAAATAATTAATAACTATTTTCTGTCTCGTTTTACATAGAATCTTCAACAAAGTTGTAGCTGAGAAAATTTTCTATAAGAATAGCTATCAAACTGTTTTGCAGCTCAATATGGAAAAAGACTAGAAGGCAATGAACAAAAAGTTGAGATTTCCCATAGTAATTTACATGTATACTTCAAATGGTTTGTGCGAAGTCTGTTTCTAACCAAATGAGTTGTAACTTTTGGAGGCTAATCACGACCCGATTTGAAACCATTTAAGCACTGTGGAGCGAAAAAGTCAAATTTTGCATCAGTCTAGTTACCATGGATGTGCTTATAATTTACTATACAAATAATGCTCATGCTTATAGTTTATCGTCCAAGTGTGTCCACGTCATAAGGATCATTCATATGCAACTAATTTTACTAAAATTCGTCCATAAGATAAAAAGTTGAAAATCGAGCGTTTTACTAAAAAAAAAACTAACTTCATACAGGCTCTTCCAATATAGCCCAAAACTATAGCAATAAATCAATAAACTTCTGTTCAACTACCAGCCACGATTAAAAAAAATATACCTGCTCACCATGTTTTAAAAAATTGTCCTCTAGGATGTACGATCAATTTTGAGATACACTGTATATCGTATATAATAGAAGTTATTTTGCATTGTTGGGGCCTCCATTAGATCAGTCGGTAAAGGCACAGTTATAAAACAAGACCATGCTGGAGGCGGCTGGGTTCGATTCACGGTCTGGTGTAGGTATTTTTGAGGTTGAAATATTTCTTGACTTTCTTGAGAATAGAGTATGATTGTAATTGCCACAGAATTATACTAAATAATGCAAAAATGGTAGAGGCTTAGAAAGGTCTCAATTAACAACTGAAGAAATACAACACTAAGTTGAGGGCCGGGCAAAAAGTCCCACTAGAAAGTCAAAAAAGAAGCTTATTTATAATACACATTAGAAATAGACCTGGAATCCTCTTCACAATCGTCGTGGAATTTTCCATTGAATTATTTAAAGATTCTAGTCTGAATTCACACAATTGACTTGGAGTTCTAGTCAAATATTTCATAGAGTTCTTTGAAAAAATCTGTTGGTATTTTTTTTTGAAATATCTTATTGTTATCTCCCGAATTCGTTCTAAAATTTCTTCAAGATTCCTTTGTAATTTTGATCCAAATTCTCTTAATAGTTAGTTTATAAAAGTAACAGTATCCCACAAGATGCGACGCGAGACAAGACGCAACACTTATCGTTCTTACAACGTTAAAATAAATTAAAATTTGTCTTTCTGTCGACCGGTTTCGGGCGTGATGTTGCCCATCTACGGGACAATGTCCGACTGATTACTCAGGATGTTCATACGTTGTTCCGTACACGTTCAATAAGAAGAGAAGAGAAGCTACTGGATTCTCAGATTTGTCAGCTTGAAAAGGCAGGATATAGTGAGGGGGGAGGTCATCTTCATTCATCAATGGTTCAGCAGTATTGGTGATAAATGATGATTCCTATGCGTTTAGATGTGCACCTTTCCAGTCAATGTTATGGTCTAAGTTAATTGTGTGTACCGCAACTTCTACGCGCATCGTACGTAGTACAAATAACACTGACATTGATAAAACAATCGAAAAAGAATTTAAAAAGCATTAGGCCAACTTCAACGGAATGTGAGCGAGTTTTCTCATCATCATCAAACTTATGTTTTAAGAAGCATTCGAACCTTAATGATAAAAATGTCAACATGTTGACTTACCTTAAGCCGTATTTCATGAATCAAGATCAGCCATAGTGATATCAGCAAAAATCAACAGACTGACTTAACTTGAAGCAAGGACTAAAAGTTGATCATGTAGTTGCTATCTTACATACGATAAGTTAAAAATTAAATTAAATCGTTTTTTAGTTTGTATTACATACTTCAATCGGGAAACGGAATCCGCTAACCGAAAGTATCGCTTGATTCGTGAGTTTTAAATCTTTCATGAGTTTTGGGGTAAAATAGGCTCAAAACAAGTGCTAGGATAACATGTGCCAAATGAAATTGTGCCTTGATCTTTTTACCTAAACGAAAAAAAAAAACATATTTGGATTTCCGCGGCAGCAAATAACAGTCTTTTTCGCTTCCGAAATCCCCACTGTGCAAAGTTATGACTTTTTTATAAGCGATAAAAATCATTTGGTTTTCATTTAGTTAGTTTATTTAGGCCGAAAAAAGACCTACTTTTTCAAAGTTATAATGCAAAGACCATTTCAACGGAATCCAAAGTAAATTTCTAGATGTAGGTAAATCCAAATGCGTAAATCCATTAAGTATATTAATTTGTTTTAGAGATATAATCCCAACTATGCGAAATTCCACTGTGAAAATTATGCGCTATTAGATACTAGTTAATCTAGCAACTATCGCCTCAGCATATTTGAAGAGCCTGCATCACAAAATTTAATATTCATCAAACGAATACTGTTATCAAATACTCGGTTCAGTTTAATGCATATTTTAACAATATAGCAACCCGTACGTTCGGCTCAATATTCAAAATGCACTCACGCATAAATATTAGCCGAAACAGTTCAGTGCAGGTGCAGAATTCTATTGATCCATCATGTGCCGTCGTGCGTATTATCCGAAACACGCCGTCGAAATATTTCAAACGGCATGATCTGTTATAGCATACATTAGCGGTACTGCCGATAGCCTCAACCATTTGCAAATGGCAAAACACTCGACGGTGCAGTAACGGACATCCTAGTGCATGGTTAGGTACGTATAGTGTAAATGCATTTCCCAAGTCAGCTGGGTTCATCAGTTAATGAAATTAGCGTGGTTTGAAATAGATTATGTTCTTTACGTGTACATTTTACGTTGGTCATTACTCATCTCTACGCTGATTGCCATCGGGAATTTACAAAGTGGCATCCTTTAGCCAGCAGCGTGACCGATCATCGAAATCAATTAACCTTTGCGGCCAATTAGCAGCGAGCTAGAGAGAATGCAGTGTTCTGTGCGTGTGTCTGGTTTAGGTAAACTCACCTGTATGGGAAACCACAGCGAGGCGAAGGCAGCGACGACGACCACAACTAGCCGGGTTACGCGTTTTTTACTCTTTTTGGACTCGGCGGAACGTCCTCCGACGGAACTCCGCCACAGTCGCGATAGCATGCACATGTACAGGACGCTAATCAGCACCAGCGGAACGACGTAGGAGCTGGAGAAGAATGCGATGTGAAAGGCAGCACGGGAAAACTGTTCGTTATCGAGGAACGAACACAAGTCGAGGACTTCGTTTTTGTACGGGGTTTTCTGCAATTGAAGGAAACAAAGAAGGGACACGGTTAGCATCTGGATCGGGAGCTGTTCATTGAATTAACTGGTAGCATATTAGGTTTCATTCTGATTAAGCTTAATTATTGTTGGTGGCTTCTGATAGTGTCAAGGTGTAACTTGGGTTGGAATAGCTGGAGCTTTTCGGTTTCTCAGAACCAGTGAAATTGCACATAGATAGAGCATGAGATTAGATTTCCATCTTCAATGGGCAAGTTCATTGATTAATACTATCTATAGATCATTTTCGACGCCAGCTACGTCCTCACGGTCTTTGGGGGAAGGGAAGGATGATTAGTTCGACAACCGTTGGTACTAGAGACCGAGGCTACATCTCCATCTCCACAATTGCCACGGAATGGATAGTTGTGTTAGTGGGTCAGGTTATTCTTAGATCAGGATTTACTGTCATAAACAGGGAATCAAAAATATCTCAAAATGACAAAATGACATGTGATCAACGAGCCAAACGATAACGCATTGTCAGTAAGGCAAGTAATAATGACAAAATCCTCTTGCATTTTTTGATGATGCATGATGATGCATAATAATGCATGATAGTGGTTTAAAACCCATTGTAGCATGGAAACTAATAGCGAATTCGTTTATTATCGGGGTTGGAACCAGTTCCAACCCAGTGCGAAACCGAACTTTTTGTCAGTGCGAACCTCAACCTGAGCTAGGTTTTAAAAACAAACGAGCAAACTGACGTTTGTCAGAAAACAAACAGACCCAATCCTGATACCCGATCCAGGTTGGAACTGAATAATAAACGAATTCGCTATAAGTCCGATAGCAGTGGGCTCTCTTCTCTGTCCCAAGTTACCAAAAGTTACGCATTCAACGATAAAACTCACTACCAAGTTCCATAAAGTTCATATAAAGTTCTGAGAGAACCTTCGAGATCCATAATGTTCGAATAAAGTTCTGACAGTGAAAGTAAAAGATCCATAAAGTTCAATTAAAGTTCCAACAGAACTTTCAAGTTCCATAAAGTTCAAATAAAGTTCCGACAGTACTTTCTTCCCAAGCAACCAAAAGTTCCGCATTCAACTATAAAACCCACTTTCAAGTTCCATAAAGGCACATAACATATGTGGACCTCGGTCATAAAAAATCGACCCCATTTCAGTTATTTCAAGTGGTATAGTAGTACATCGATCTGTCAAACTGATTATACCAGCTGTTAAATGAGAAAGGAGATCAAGGGGGTAGTTAATTTTATAAAAAAATATTTCTAATGTGGCTTATAATTCTATGTATTCTTAGCGCTCTTGAACTCTTTGTATTGTCATAATAATTTACGTTATTTATTTTAATTATATAGCTATCGTTTTTTATTTTTAACTATAAAGCTTAATTGATCATATTTATCATAAAAAGGAGACATTTTTTGCAGATGTTTTAAGCGTTGACCTGCCACCTAAAAAACGTAATCTTAAGCTGCCATGGGTTAACTGTTTACAATTCAATTATGAAAGCGATGCGTATTGCTTTTCTGTAATTATTACCAACAATTGGAGAAACTCCAAGCGAATGCTTGTTTATTTCTTTAAATTTGCGTGGGTAATTTGTTTTAATTTGTCTTTTTCTATGATAAACCTAGATAATAAATGTATGTCATTTTATAACGTATGAGGAAAAAAACGACCGCGCAAATTTGGAGTTTGACGCATACAGTTTAAAGCAGCAACATGTTGCAACAAGTGTCCTGGTTTATATACAAGTATAGCAAATCTTAAGAAGTTGTCAAATTTCTACCGCCAGTATAAAAAAGAGCTGAATATTGAAAAAAAAAACATAGTGTGCGTTGAGAAATTGAAGTACATTTGCTGGCGATTCTTTGAACCCTTGTTCGTTTGATGGCTGTAGTGGAACATCTTCTTCTTGGAATTAGTACGTAAAACAGACATAAATCTCTCAATATTGTGGAAACTATGCAGTGTTTTGAGCTAACCTTGCATCTTTTCATTCACATTTATGAAAGAAGGATGACAAATGAAATCGAGCGCTTATCGATACCTGTAATACCCAAGTTTTCAACCCTCTCTATGTTTCTCAATAGCGTAAAATTGAATGTTTTTTTCTCAAATCCCAACACAAAGATCTACTGACTGGTTATCTACAGTATGACTGGTTAACAATGCGCTTGATTGACTTCTGACCGACTTGAAAACACGCGTTAATAAAACCATTAATAGGCCCCTGTGTCCCAGAGCTAGCCTAAAAAAGAATGGCCGCATTACTTTGACAATTAGCCTTATCGGTCACTCTGTAACTATTTACTCCTATGGTAAAATCGCATAAGCAAACGTCAGTCTGTGTGAGAAACATGTTACACATTACCTTACCATTTCACTCCAGTGAAAATCTCATAAGATCCTGTAAATCTTTGCATGAAGAGACGGTGGCTAGACTTCGTGATTTTACCATAGGAGTAAAGAGCTAGAAAGCCAACCAATGAGTACGGAGAGAGGTGAAGCAGATCGTGCAATATGGTTGTATTAGCAATCCAAAAAATCAATGTAAACGCAATTAGTGACGTCACTAATTACATGTATCGTACAGGGGTTTTACTCACAAATCTTAACCGACTGCTTCACCTCGGTAATCCAGCTCATTGGCCGTCAACGTCAATACTTAAACGTTATTTCAAAAATACTCCAATTTGGCATGGACTATTTAAATATTGGCATGGATCTGATCGACGTTGTTCAATTGTTAACCTGTCACTCCCAACATAGTTTACCCATTTTTTGATAGATTTTGTTTTGACCGATCAGGGTGCATTTTACTCAAATTTGGGTAGTTTTCAAATAGCATGTACTGAGCATGCAACCAAATATCTGATTTTTTTTTCATAAGGGCCAATGTCACAAACGTAAACACTGACTTTTCCACGAATTTCATGAGAATGAAAACACGCTCAAGTAAGCCACCACAATGTTTGTGCACGGAGAAAAAATACTAACCAAAAATATGAGTTCTTTTTACTTAATATTGACTTCAGCCTCTCACTTTCACTCGTTTTTTTTTTTTTATTTTTAATAATTCGTTTATTTTTCCAGGCTCATTTGCTGTAGCTTTGCGGAGCCGATATTCATTGTTTAGATAACAAAATTACTTAAAACTAACGTTAGTAAAGCGGGGGCCGATTACTCGCGGCTATCTCGAGGTTAGGGGTAACAAATTGTAACAAATGGATGGCAGGGTAGGGATTGTGAACACAAGGTTTGGAGAGCAATGTGCTCTTGATCTCGAACTAGGCGACACTCTGATGAAAAAGACAAACATGGGGGTACACCGATGGGTAGCTAACAACTTGGGAGAACACAAGATGACACTAACTTCTAAATCCTCAAATCTATCCGTTTTAAAAACACATAAATTAAATTCAAATAGTCAAGGTCTCGGCTCGCCAAGACATCTCTAACGGGTATCGCGGGTTGTTTTCCTCGGGTCCTAAGGGATGTGGATAACTCAGATCTGGCAACACGGTGTAAGGTACACGACCAAACAACATGCTCGATATCGTGATAACCACTGCCACACGCACATAAATTGCTGCCTGAGAGCCCAATTCGATAGAAATGCGAGTCTAACGAGCAGTGATTGGACATAAGCCTTGATATAACGCGTATAAAGTCGCGGCTCATGTCCAACCCTTTGAACCATGGCTTGTTCGACACCTGTGGGAGAATAGAATGTAACCATCTTCCCAATTCACCATCATTCCATTTTTGTTGCCAACTGATGAGGACTTGCTGACGAGCAATGGAGAAAAATTCGTTGAAGGCGATTTGTCGCTCAAAAATATCGCCTTCCATAGCGCCCACCTTAGCCAATGAGTCCGCTTTCTCATTACCCGGAATTGAGCAATGAGATGGGACCCAAGCTAAGGTGATAGTATAGGAGCAGTTAGATAAAGCACTCAGTTTAGATCGTATTTCAGGCAGGAAATACGAGGAGTGCTTCATCGGCCTCATTGAACGAATAGCCTCCAATGAGCTAAGACTATCCGTAAAAATGAAATAATGGTCAGAAGGTAGTGAGGCAATTCGCTCTACTGCATAAAATATAGCTGCGAGTTCCGCAACGTATACGGAGCATGGTTTCTGCAGTTTATAGGAGGCGCTATGAAATTGATTAAATACACCAAATCCAGTGGAAGCATTTATGGTTGACCCATCTGTGAAAAATCTTTTATCGTTACTTACATGGTGGTACTTGATTGCAAAAATTGAGGGAACAACCATCGACCGATGGTGATCTGGTATTCCATGGATTTCTTGCATCATGGTCAGATCAAAATTTACAGAGGAACTATAGAAGGCTTGGAAGCAATCACGATTGGAGATTAATGAAGAAGGACCAACCTCCAGCGTCATGTACTCATAGTACAAACTCATGAATCTTGTTTGAGGATTTTGGTCGAGCAGCTTCTCAAAGTGTTCTATTACCAAAGGATTCAATACTTCACAACGGATGAGGAACCGGAAAGACAGCTCAGCGAAACGATCTGTCAGTGGGAGAACACCCGCGAGTACTTCGAGGCTCATCGTATGCGTCGAGTGCATACAGCCAAGCGCGATTCGGAGGCAACGGTATTGAACTCGTTGCAGCTTCAAGATATGTGTCTTCGCCGCGGATTGAAAGCAGAAGCTACCGTACTCTAAAACCGAAAGGATGGTTGTTCGGTACAACCTGATTAGATCTTCCGGGTGTGCTCCCCACCAAGTTCCGGTAATTGTACGAAGAAAATTGATTCTTTGTTGGCATTTTTGTTTCAGATACGCAATATGTTTTCCCCATGTGCATTTGGAATCGAACCAGACACCTAAATACTTGAAAGATATACTTTGAGTGATTGTTCTACCCTTTAGTTGAAGCTGTAACTGTGCAGGATGATGCTTCCTAGAAAAAACAACCAACTCAGTTTTCTCCGGAGAGAATTCGATACCCAGCTTCATAGCCCAAGT